GGGGGTCAGGGAAAGGAAAGGGAGACGTCCCATAGATTGAAATGAAGCAAATTATGAATATGTCAAAGGAACTCCACTATTATGTATTACTATAAGGCACTAAAATAGACATTTTTAAAGTATGCACATTTAGTCCTATTCTTGAAAGTAGAGGTAGCTTGCAGACATACCATCCTGAATATACCTAATCTTGTCAAAAGTAGAGGTAGCTCCAATGGATGAAGTTTCCAGACACACACAAAAAAATCACAGTGAGAAAGAAGAAATTGGCTACAAACTCAAATTATTAACTCCCAGCAGTATGTGATTTAACCTCCAAAAGCCTCAATTTTCTCATCTGTAATATAGGGCAATAGGATCTACTTCATATGCTGTGCCATGCTATCCTATTTGCCTTGCTGACTAACTGTTTACAGCTGCTCTCTACAATGTGATTGGACAGTTATTGAGAATTTGAGACGTGGCTGGCCCAGGCTGAGATGTGCTGTAGGTATGAAACACATGCATCGGTTTTTGAAGACTTGATCTTTTTTTTAAACTTGTAAAATATCTCAATAATTTTTATATCGAGGATGATAGGGAACAGGTAGAGGTGAGCAGTGGGAACACAGGTTAAGGGAATAATTCTATAAACTGGGCCCACTGTGCTGGCTTCCACATGCATCGTAAAAAAAAATAAAATAAAATAAAAGCAATTTACCTGCAGCCCTGCCTGACTAAAGTCAACAGGCTACGTTACACTCCTCAGCAAACAACCTGTTATTTGAAGGAGAAATGAAAGTCCAAAACTCCAAGAAAAAGCACACAAGTGATTCACCTGAACAGAGCAGCAGCTGCAATGGAAGAAATTCATGTTTTACCAAACTCAATATCCCCTGGAGTTGCCTTGTTAGGATCTTCAGCAAGCAGCAGCAAAAGGAGCTGAATGAACACTTCCTGAAGGACCCCCATCCATCCCACAGTGCCCTGGTGGTCCTGGCCACCAGGCTTGACCTGGGGAAGTGTCATGTGCAGAAGTAGTCTGTGGCTTGCCAGGCCTCATACCTTGGCCGGGCACCATACCCTCAGCTGGAGCAGCATCTGAGCCCACCTTCTTCCTGGACAGAAGTCATCTACCTGTGCTGGGGCCAGTGGGCTTATGTGGGCACACCCAGAGGCAATGGGTGACTTAAGTGCCAGTCCTTAGGATTCCTTCCCAGAGGTCCAACCCTGCTTCTCCAGGCCAGGCCTGCGGGCAGCGCACAGGAGGGCATCCCATCAGCAGCAACCCAGCTTCAGGGCCCCAGTGGGCCAGGGGGCCAGGCCTGTGAGCTCTACATAGCTTCGAAAGCTCCGAGTCTCTGTCTCTACATCTTCGGACCCAGAGGAAGAGGACACGGACAAATCAGGTCCAGGAGATTCCTGAATGTATATGGGTTCTACACCTGCCACATTCCGCAGGTCCCGCAGATCCTCACTCTGGCTACTTTCGCATCTGACTGTTGTCCCCACCTGTCATTCCAGTCACCTGGAAGCAAGTGTCTGGGTTTCTGGTCTAGGAGTGGAATGGATGTTCCTGGATCCACTTCCTTCCCTTGATGCTGCCCCAGAGCTCTTTAGGGGGCTGTGCCCTGCACCCTCGACACTCAGTATTGTGAGCTTCTGCAGGCGTGTATACTACCTACGGCTTTCATCAAACTCCCTCATGAACATTAAAACATTCTCACATGGTTTTGTTTTGGGTTTTTGGTTTTATTGGTGGGGGAATAATGAGAATTGAACCCAGGGGCACTTTACCCCTAAGGCACATTTCCAGCCCTCTTCATATTTTATTTGGAGACAGGATCTTGCTAACCTGCTGAGGCTTTTGAGCTCCTCAGCCTCCTGCCTCAGCCTCTGGAGCCACTGGTATTATAGGTGTGGATTTCCTTTATCCTGTACTCTTGGCAATTAAAGTCCCTCTGGTTCTCCACCTCACCACCACCAAAAAAAAAAAAAAAAAAAAAAAACAAACAAAAAAAAACACATTACCCTGAAAGTGGGAATGATTTTTGTGACCTATACATAGACCAGATCCCAGAGCTCAGGGAGATAAGGATAATTCCCCCTACCCATAAAATCTATAAGGAAAGAAGATTTCAGCCAGGCATGATGCACACACCTGTGATCCCAATGACTCAGGAGGCTGAGGCAGGAGGATCACAAGTTCAAAGCCAGCCTCAGCAACAGCAAGGTGCTAAGCAACTCAGTGAGACCCTGTCTCTAAATAAAATACAAAATAGGGCTGGGAATGTGGCCCAGTGGTCAAATGCCCCTGAGTTCAATCTCCAGTTAATCCCCCGCCAAAAAAAGGGACACATTTCAATTAGAACTGGTAAACATGGGCCAAAGTGACCTAGAGTTGTCACAAACAGTGGAAACTTGAAAGTCTGATGTCATCCTTCTGTCAGTCAAAAGTCAAGAGGCGAATTTGAGTGGAATTTTAGAATTTTCCCTGGGACCTACCAAGAAGACTGGAGGGCAGGTGACTGGGGAAGCTGAAGCGAGAGGATAGCAAGTTTGAGGTCAGCCTCAGCAATTTAGTGACACTCTGTCTCAATAAAAAATAAAAAAAGTGAGATAGCAATTTAGCATGGAGAGATATACTAAGTCTTAAAGGAAACCTCCTTGAGCCATTGAGATTCAGAAAGCTGAGCTGCAAATCTTGAAAAAGCAGGCATTTGGCCCATACCCTTGTAAAATGAGGGAAATACACAAGTGCAGGGAAAACCGGCATGAAACTGCAGCTCCACCCTGGCTCCAGATCCGCCCCAGATACAGCCCTTTTTTAAGTACTGGACTCCCAACACAGGCTGGGCTTCTCACCCTGGAGATAGCCCACTTCTCCTTTGAATGTGTATCTACTTCCTAAATAAACCTCTATGTCTTTGTCTGGCTCATGCTGAAATTCTGTTCTGTCAGGTATGCCAACAACCCCTCTGGCCCTGAGTTGGATTCCCACTTCCCTCTGAGAACTCCTACGACCCTTCTCTGGAGACATTTCTTCTCCCATGATGAAAGGACTAGGGATAGTCAGTGGTAGAGTGCCCCGGGTTCAATCCCCAGCACAAAACAAACAACTGGAGTGGGGAGGGGCATGCCATGTGGTCCTCCTCCTCTGGGAGTGCTCCTCTTCCCTTTTTCAATCCCTTCTAATAAAACTCATGCACGCTATCTGAGTGGTATGTCTGTAATGAAATCTTTCTGGCCTGATGGCAAGAATCAGGGTGAGAAAGGACTGCCAAGGCTGTCTTAGCCTGGCAGCAGGCCCATGCCCTGTGACAATGACATGCCAAAACAATCCCACTTGGGATACATTACATTATATGAAATGAGCTATTAATATTAAAGTATATATACAAATGGAATCTTATAATACAATACTCTTTTGCTCCATGTTATGTTTGTTTGCACATGAGTGACTTTAATGACTACTGTGCTATGCACTGTTATAACTTAAAAAGTGTGGGGCTAGGGTTGTGGCTCAGTGGTAGAACGCTCCCCTAGCACATGCGAGGCCCTGGGTTCAATCCTCAGCACCACATATAAATAAATAAATAAAATAAATATATTATGTCAACTTACAACTAAAAAATACATACGTGTGTGTGTGTGTTGTGTGTGTGTGTGTGTGTGTGTGTTTCTTTTTTCTTGTTTTGGTAACAGGGATTGAACCCAAACAAAGGTCACTTTATGGCTGAGCTAAATCCCCAAACTTTTAAAAAATTTTTATTTGGAGACAGGGTCTTGCCAAGTTTAAGAGTCTCTCTCAGTTGCTGAGGCTGGCTTTGAACTTGCAATCCTCCTGCCTCAGCCTCTGGAATCACTGAGATTATGGGCATGCACTGCTGTACCCAGCCTAAAAAGTGATTTCTATCTCCTAATGTACTTGCCAAGATGGAGTGCTAACATTAGTCCTAAAAAAAAAGTAAAGGTATTGTGTTCATAGACAATTAAAAAAAACTGGAAAAAAGAAAAAAGAAAAAAAGAATTGCTTGCAAATGCCATGCACAGTGGCACACGCGTGTAATGTCAGCGAGGAGCGACTAAGATGGAGGATCCCAAGTTCCAGACCTGCCTCAGCAATTTAACAAGATCCTATCTCCAAAAAAAAAAAAAAAAAAAAAAAAGTGTGGGCTGGGGATGTGGCTCAGTAAAAAACTCCCCTGGGCTCAATCTCAGTAACAAACAAACAACAAACAACATCATCAACAACAACCAAAAAAAAAAAAAAAATTAAAGGAGATATATATCTGGGATTTGTTTTAAATTGAAACCAAAAGTGCTTAACCACTGAGCCCGATATCCGTCCTTTTTTATTTATTTCATATCTTTATTTATTTTTATATGGTGCTGAGGATGGAACCCAGTGGCTTATCCGGGCTAGGTGAGCGCTCTAGCACTGAGCCACAAACCCAGTCCCCTTTTTATTTTGAGAAAGGATCTCGCTAAGTTGCTGAGGCTAGTTTTGAACTTGTGATCCTCCTGCTTCAGCCTCCCGAGTCGCTGGAATTACATACGCCACCACGTCGGGCTTCTTTCTTCTTAATTATGTTTATAAATTACTTTCAAGTAATATATGATCGCACAATCAAACCTAACGAATGTTCTCGACTAAACAAAATCTCTCCTTCATATCTAGTAACATATTTCTAACCTAGAACTACAAGCCTGACTTAGTTGACTGATATTTAAAACCCATAACTTTATTTCTGGACACCAAATATATATGAGAAATTTGAGACAGTCTCTAAGGGGACTGGCATTCGTTCCAGGCATTCTCAAATCATATCCCACACTCCCTTTCTGCCCTCCCAGTTCTCGGTTTTTATCCTGAAATCTCGCGAGAGGTCGAGTTTTCATGAATTCTCCCAGAAGCCACCGCTCTTCCTCTTCCTGTAAGCGGCCTGAGGTGAGTGCTTCTTTAGAGTCTGGGTACGAGTGTTCAATCCTCTGGTCATCACCGCCATCCTGGCCTCTGGAGTGCGGGCGTCAAGGACCGCGGGAGGAAAACTCTCAGGGCTACGATTTCTTGCTGGAAGCGATGTTTCTCTGTGCAAGGAGACGTGGCAGAGTGCCCGACTTGATGCTCCCGGGCCGGCAGGCCTCTGTGAACTGCAGAGGAACGTGATGGATGGGGACGGGGGAGGGAGAAGCTCGTCGGCTGGTGGGGATACGGGCAGCTGCCCTCCGTGTCTACTCCGACTGTGGAGGTCCATGTCCCGCGGTGAGTGGTGGCCAGTACGCGGAGCATTTGTGGCCGCAATGCGAGAAAGTTTTGAGGGAATAAAGGCAGATTGAAACCAAACCCTTCTCAGTTAAGTGCTGCGAATTGCATGACTCCTACCTAACGTGGTTGATAGTGTAAAGTCTGTAGTGTGGGAAGCTATTCCTGTGAAGCTGTGTGAGTGAAGGGGTTTCTGTAAAGAGGGAGGGAGGGCGGAAAGGATCGGAGTTGGTTTTTGCTATGTCAGATGCCATGCATTGGCGGCATCATAGGTCTAAAAGACCCACGTTTAGATCAAAACTGGCTGTTTTCTTCTAAAGGGGAAGGGAGAGGGTTGATTGGAGGTCCAAATCACTATTCGTGTAATCAGCGCCATAGTGGCTGGTTGATGCAGAGGGAAGAGAAGAAAGGACAGGGTGGAGGGAAAGGACGGCTGCGATGATGGCAAATCTTAGGACACCTTTGGATTAATCATGAAAACAACTATTCTCTGAGCAGCTTCTAATATCACTTAACACTTTGTTATTTAAAGTTCACCAGTTACCCTTAAGTATCTATTACTGACAAGTATGGGGTGCTCCCTTCCAGGTGACCTATGAAAATGGTCCGGTACTCTCTTGACCCGGAAAACCCCACAAAATGTAAGTGAATAGGACATAGATCTATAATTTCTACTTTGGGGTGAGCATAAAAGTATAGCCAGAAATTAACCAAAATTTTTTTTATATTCTAGCATGCAAATCAAGAGGCTCAAATCTTCGTGTTCACTTTAAGGTATGAGACTCCTAAGGCAATCTAAGTTTTCCACATGTTCTAGTGTTGCTCATCTTTAAAGGAAGCTGCAGTGATGCCTTTCTTAGGACACCTTTGGATTTACCATGAAAACTAATACATTCTGAGCAGCCACCTTTTACTTGTATGTTGATTATCATTGTATAATGAGCAGTTTGACTCAGGATTTCTGAAATTGAATAAAAGTACCAGAAAATCCTTGAGAAAGTAGTTGGATGTTGGAATTTAAAGATTTTACAGTGGATAAATTGAGGATTAGGATTAATTTTCCCTAGTTCCAAACAAAGTTTCCCAGGCTTTTAGTCACAATATCATGTATGACAATTTTGAAATTCTATACTTAAATGTTTGCTTTAAAAATTATACTAACCAAAACTTCATTACTCGTATTTAGAACACCCGTGAAACTGCGCAAGCCATCAAGGGTATGCATATCCGAAAAGCCACCAAGTACCTGAAAGATGTCACATTAAAGAAGCAATGTGTGCCATTCCGGCGTTACAATGGTGGAGTTGGGAGGTGTGCCCAGG